TTGGAAATATTCTTTGTGTACATAATGCTTTTTCACCACTGAACTGATTCAGAGAGTTTCCCTGCACACAAAAAATGAGATCAAAGGTAGTAGAAAGTACATGTTATAAATAAATGTTCAGTCTATTGGTGCATTCAATTCATAAGAAATGAGGAGTACACTTCTTTCCCTCTGTGAAGGAAATACTTAGGAAAGTAGATATTGAAGCATTTTGGATGATGGCATAAAGGACAGGCATGTTATAACTGTGATGTGGAACTGCATTTAAAAATGTGTCAATGAAAACCATGTATTGAGCAAAACAGCTCAGGGAGCTGGGTCTGGTTAACATTTGACAGATGAGTAATTTTTCTCTCCCAGTGAAACAAGAGAGAGGAGATCCCAGCCTTCAGTCTCCAGCAAATTCCTCATATTGAAGGAATTAATGTGAAATGGTTTGGCTCTGCTCATCCTGGCACACTCTGTACTCAAAAAAAGAGAGACAAGATCTTCCAGAAAGTAACTTAAATAAAAAATGAGAGTCCACTTCTTTCCTTGGAGACCCCACATGTAGGTACTGCAAGTCAGACTGTGTGGATACTCTCATCCTCTCTCAACAACATAATTAAAATTGCTGTCTTTGAAGTTACAGGACTGAATAAAAACCTTTGGATTTGAACTTGGTTATCTATGCCTTCCACAATTATCTCCATGTCATTGGTTTTAAACCCTGCCTTCTCCCCAGTACAGATTCCTACATTAAAGGTTTTTACCATGTCCAAAAACTAGAATAAGCCAGGGAAGCAAAGAGCAAAGTTCCTGCAGGGAACATGTCAGGGTAGGTAGGAAACAATCTTTCTCTAGAGATTAATTGTAAAGAAACTGTTTATTAGTGGCAGCTACACAGCACACAGATTAGGGCTTGAATAAAATAGCCTTGCATTTGAGAATACAACAGCAGAACTGATGTTTACCCTAATGCATAGGACTCACTGGCTGCTTCACAAATATTTACATGCCAGGAGCTTAAGGCTTCTTGTGTGTCCTGCACTCAGGGACTTGCTGCTCCATATTTCTCGGAGACAGGAATGCAAAAAGCGGATGAATTATGACCAGAAGTGGTAACTCAGCCCTTACTGCTCAGTCAGCTAAGCAGCACCCCATTTTCTCTCTAAAACTGCCTTTAGCTGCCCTGGAGGTTTCCTAGAATATCTGGCATTCCCTGCCCAGCACAAACCCTTCTGCACATCCATCACACAGAAAGCACTGCCGTGTCCATGCAGAGCTGGACGTAAACCCAGACCACACCGACATCTCTGTTACTGAGGTCATGTGTTAAACAGGTTGTAATACCTCAGAATCACACTCTGGGTCTTGCATTGTGGCCATCCATGCTTTCTCATGGAATATTCCTCCCAAGCAGGGCAGAGCCCCACTGGCTAAGCTGAGGGTCCCACATTTTCTGTCCTGTTGGTCACATCTGCTTGGGAGGAGGCACCAAGATGATCAGAGGGATGGAGCCCCTCCAGGTGGAGAGAGCTGGGATTGTTCAGCCTGGAAAAGCGAAGACTTTGGGGTGACCTAGTTGGGGCCTTCCATTATCTGAAGAGAAACTACAGGAAAGATGGAAGAGACTATTTACAAGGGCCTGGCGTGACAGGACAAGGGGAATGGGCTTAAGCTGAAGGAGGGCAGGTTTAGATTAGATATTAGGAAGAAATTCCTCCCTCTGAGGATGGTGAGGCCCTGGCACAGGTTGCCCAGAGAAGCTGTGGCTGCCCCTGGATCCCTGGAAGTGTCCAAGGTCAGGCTGGATGGGGCTTGGAGCAACCTGGGACAGTGGAAGGTGTCCCTGGGGTGGCACTGGATGGGCTTTAAGGTCCTGTCCAACCCAGAGCAGTCTGTGATTCTATGATTTGCCCATTCCATATTGTGTGCATTTCCAAGTGCAAGCTGGAATCCAGCATCTCTCAGTTCCTTCTTAGCAGAGATGCCTCAATCCTATCTTTTCAGGATCCCCTCTTCCAGGAGAGCACGGTGCTCTCAGAGACTGAGGAATGACTGAGGAATGGAACCAAGTTTCTCCAGAGGCAGAGACATTCAGGACACGGGAAGGGAAGAGGAAAAGCACCACATAACGCTTGTGCAGTGGGGAAGAGGGCTGCTGTGCCCCTAAGTCTGGATGGGCTTTGCATCTCACGTCATCCCTAGAAAGGTATTTGGGGAGAAGACAAAGGTGGTGGCACAGGAAGCAGCTCTCAAGGAGAGAATGGGACTAACAAAATAATCACTGCAGGATAAAGGACTCCTGGTTTGCATCAGAGCTGCTGGAATAATCAGAGTTCTGAAATCATTATTACTGAAGATTTTGTCCAAGTCTGTTTTCAGTTCTGTTGTCAGGTGTCCCTGCCCATGGCAGGGGGTGGAATGGATGGTCTTCAAGGTCCCTTCCAACCCAAACCATTCTATAATTCCATGATTCTATGCTTTCCAATGCCAATCACACCTCAGGTTGTGCTCACCTCAGGGGGCTCCACGGTGGTGGATAGTCCAGAGCTGCTCCCAGTTGTCCAGAGACCAATCAACTCTCAGCATTCACTGAACTTTCTGCCTGGAGCACCTTCTCCAAGCCCTGTGGATCAATCACAGAGGTTTCTCAGACTCCTGAGCTCACACTCCCTGACATAATCTGTGCACATCCAGAGTGTTACAAAATTGAAAAAAAAATAACAGATCAGAAACTCCCTTAAAAAAAATCACTGTTACTGTTTTACCAATTAAAAAAACTGAGTAAGGCAGCGGGCAACAGGCAAATTGCCAACAGGAAAACCTTTGATTCAGCATTAAACCAGGACCTGGTTTAATGAAGCACTTTCAAGGAGGTGCCTCAGACTACCAGCCAAGCAGCAGGGAGAGAAAGAGAAGGGTTTGGGTCACTTAAGGAAAAATTTGAATGAAAAGAACAATTCTATGGAAAAGTTGCATTGACGTGGGAGACTAGGAAGTTTTCCACTTCAGCTATGCTTGAGGTGATGAGACACTGCAGCATCACAGTGGCAACAGCAGCTCCTAAACTGTGATATTCAGAATTGGGGGTAAATAATACCAGTTTTCTTTTGGTTCCTTTTAAGAGTTTGCTAATTGGGACAATGAAGATGAAGGGTTAACCCTGAACGAGGAGGACCAAGGAGAAACAAGGAAATGTGATACAAAGAGTGTCTGAAAAATGAGAGGAGGAGGATACAGGAGAATATAGGGTGTGTTTTTACAGTCTCTTCCCAGTTCATGCTCAGCAGACCAGTGAAGGAGAACACTTCCTGCCTCTGTGTGAAGTGGCATCATGTACAGCTGGCACAACTACCTCCAGTTAGGTGAGCAAATATAAAATACTGAATACCATCTTTGCCAAGGAAACATGCTCATGTTACATTATTTGCCTAAAACTCTTTTAAATATGCCAGGAATAAAAATAAACCCCATAACCTTCCTTAGGCAGAGGAGAAAACTGACAGATAAAGTTGCTTGCTCCATTCAGGATCTCTGCTTTACAGTTCCTTTACTCTGCAGTTGTTACTCATGCAGAGACAGGCAAGCTGCCTTGTAAAAAATTCATTTTCAAGCAATGTCAGCGTTACACACAATGTATATATTCAGTGTCCTGGCTGCCCAGTTCTTCTCTGCAAGTGGAGCTCTGCTGTGGGGGTGTCTGTTGTTCCATGGCAAGCTCGATGCTTTCTGTTTTCCTTGATTTACACTGTCCTGGTAACAAACAATGAACTCTGCCAAAACATGGATAAACACCAAGGTGCAGTGTGAGGGCAGGGGCTGAGCGTTTCCCACCCAGCCACATGAACTTTATTCCCTGGAGATGCTGCAGGAGCAGTGGAGCTGCACTGGGATGGGCAGGCTGAACTCTCCCTTCTAATCTGGGCTCTGCTGCTGACTCACCATGTCACCTTTGGGACAGAACTGCCTCCAAATTCGTTCTCCTTCCTTCAAGAGGCCGCATTCTGTTGGAGACATTAGTTACCATAGTTACAGATCCTAGAATAGTTAGGATGAAGGACTTCTCAATCAGATAACTTGGCAATCCTTCCTTTTGTTCTCTGCTACAGGGCCAGAAGTGACAGAAAACTAAAAAGTAAGTTCAAGCAAGGTAATTAAAACAGATTTATTCCAGTGGCACGGTGTGGAAGAGTAAGGTAAAAATCTGAGAGCTGCTCACCAAAGGCTGGGTGGAAGATGTGGCCCAAACAGAACTGGGGGTTGCAGTTCTGTGTTTATCAAGCAAGCTATCATAACTTGGAAAATGTGAGATAAGTGCCAGCAGTGTCCTGCTGCCAGGCAGCCTATTCTTATTTATCCACTGAAGTCAACCTTGCTGACAGAAGCCCTTTTTAAAGGCAATCTGCTCTGTGCATGCCTGGCCTGTTACTGGGTTACCTCAGGGTTTTTTGTAAACCCCTGGTCTTGCATTTGAAATTCAGCTCACACAAATCTGTTGTAGGACAGACCTATTTGCATCTTTGATTTCTATTGACTTACTCCTAACCTTTCCCAGCTATTCTTTACATTTTGATGAACTCTTCTTGCTTCCTTTCCCAAGCCCTGCCGAAGATAAATAGAGGATTGAGACTCTTTGGTGCTGCCCAGTGTCAAGGTTTTGCTCTGGGCAGCGTGCTGATCGTGGCTGCAATTCCTGGCTTGCAGGCACTTGGGATCCAGTTACATTTGCTGGCGTCAGGCAGACTCTGCAGACCACTGTGAAATACTGAATCTAAAAATAAAAGAATGAAAAAGTACAAACCCAAAGAGAGAGGAATATTAAAATTCCAGAAAAACTGTAGAAAAGTTTGGAAGAGGCGCACAGGCAGTCCTGGGGGAAAACACTGACATACTGGGGGAGTTTAAATTAAGCCCATGGGTTTGCCTTTTTTAGCTCTGACACCCATGTGACACTCCAGGGCTCAGCCTGTGGGTCCAGGTATTTCTGCTCACACAGAGAATGTGTTGGAGCCTCTGGGAAAGCCAAACCATTCCCACTGTCTCAGCTCCTTGTGCCTCTCTCCCTATGAACTGGTAACCCCAGGTGCACTTGGCTGGGGAGTCTCAGTCCTCTGGATTTCTCCTTTGGATCAAACCCACCCTGGATGGTGCTGACTGGGAGAGGGAAGAGGTTCCGGGCTCTGGTGAGTCTCAGCAGGGACAGGAGGGGGAATGTGACAGCTTTTGCAGCACTTTTAATTGTGCATATGGAAGATAATGGATCTGTGAATCCAGCCAAAGGGTCAGGATTAAATACGTGCTCAACCTGCTTCAAAAGATTAAATTAATGAGTCTGAGATCAGATAGAGAAGCCTCAGTGCTATTTCTAAAGGGGATTTCATGAATCTCATATGAAGAATTTGGTGGAAATTTCCTCATTTTCTGATGAAAAAAAAATCTAGTAACCTTTGAAATTGTTATTTTCCATTTAAATATTAAACCAGCACAAGGTTTAATGTTTGCCAAGTACAAAGTTGCGTTTTGAAGTGCGAGACTTGTGCCTGCCCGTTCCTGAGCGGCCCGGTTCCATTTCAGGGCTTCGGACCGCCTGCCTTTGATTTGTTTGTGAAAATTCTTTCTAGATTTAATCGAAGCCTATTTGCAGGAGACTTTATTTCTGCCTCCTTTTTGACGCTTTGAAATGAATGACCGCTGAGCTGAGGTTGAGAGCGGCCGTGTTTGCAGAACAAAGTGTTATAAACACACCCACACCCACAGGGCGCGGGGCGGCCGCGCTGGGGCCGCGGGGAGGCCGCGGGCAGGGCAGGAGTTCCCAGCGATGGCTGAGATTGTGTGTGTTAAGGACTGTGTGTGTTAAGGACTGTGTGTATTAAGGACTGTGTGTGTTAAGGACTGTGTGTGTTAAGGACTGTGTGTGTTAAGGACTGTGTGTGTTAAGGATTGTCTGTGTTAAGGACTGTGTGTGTTAAGGACTGTGTGTGTTAAGGACTGTGTGTGTTAAGGACTGTGTGTGTTAAGGACTGTGTGTGTTAAGGACTGTGTGTGTTAAGGGTTGCGTGTTCCGAGCGTGCCACGGTGCAGCCCCGGGGCTCCTCGCGCTGAAAGCTCTGCCCTCCAGCCGCGCTGAGGGCTCAGCCCCGAGCTCCGGCCCCGTCCCTCAGCTCAGGGCCCAGAGGCCGTGCCAGGGTTTGAAGCCTTAGGACTCAGCACCTCGGTCTGGGGTGTTCTGCAATTTTTAGTTTTCTTTCATTCCTGATCTGAGGAACAGCAGCTCACGCTGTGCTTTCTAAAGAAACCTTGAAGGGGTCTCCTGCCAGCATGAAGTGGGTGTTTAAAACTGCACGGGTGGTTTTTTTGGGGTTCCTCCTAAGGACTGTAAGACAAAACCTCTATTGTCCCAGCTGTGTGACCCTGGAAGCACAGGGTCACATGCAGCATTTTATATTATTTAATAGTACAGCTAAAATGAAATGTCAGTATCACAGAATCATAGAATATCCTGAGCTGGAAGGGACCCACAAGGGTCACCGAGTCCAAGCCCCTGGCCCTGCCCAGGACACCCCAACAATCCCACCCTGTCCCTCAGAACGTTGTCCAAACCCTTCTGGAGCTCTGGCAGCCTTGGGGCTGTGCCCACTGCCCTGGGGAGCCTGGGCAGTGCTCTGGGGGAAGAACCTTTTCCTGAGATCCACCCTGATCCTGCCCTAGCACAGCTTTGTGCTGTTCCCTCGATATTTTAAAAACTGTAATGCTAATTTATATTTCTTAATTTGCCTCACTAACTTTGCAGAAGAAATTTGGACCTATATATTTTAATTTACAGCAGACGAAAAGCTGAAGGAAGCATCAGGCAGGAATGTGAAGGAAGCATCAGGCAGGAATGTGAAGCTGTTTCCCTGTGTCTCAGGCTGCTTTGTTCTAAACAAAAACCAACTGAAAATGAATATGCAAAATGCCTGTTACTTATGTATATGAACTTGGCAGATTCCTTTATAGTTTTGCAGCACATCAGGTTTGCAGCTAAACAGTTGATTAAGTGCAGCTCACAGTGAGAGATTCTGAGGGTACAAAGAACATCCATCCACATCCTCTGATGGAATACAAAACTCCTAAGCTTTCTAATGACCATCCATGGTTGGACAATATCTGGCAGCAGGTCAGAAACTGCAAGAAAATCAAAAATATCCTTCCTTATCAAAGCCTATGTTAACCAGGACATTCCGCACAGGAAGGTCTGGTGTTTCTGCCTGACTCAGAATCATAACTTCTCTTAACTCTCTGTCCTGTATGTGTCCAGCTTCTCCTTCTGTGTGTCCAGTTCTGGTGAAATCCTTTCTCTCACTGCTCAGTAAAAAGAAGTTGTTACTTGTGTTGGGTCACCCTACCCTGCCTGTTCCTGTACCTGACACAGAGGTCAAGGCAAAAGGCAGGAGACATGAAACACGGTTCCCCTTTTCCAAAATGGGAAACTGAGGCAGGGGCTCAGTAAGTTGCTCGAGGACACAGTTTCCACTAGTGGGAACCCAAACAAACTCACTGAAGCTCATGGAAGCTATGAGAGAAAGGCAGACTTTTGTACCAGGAAGATCCAGTAACTGCGGGACAAAATGGTATCAAAGTAAAAAGATGTTTAGGAGCAGCAGAAAGGGGAAGTTCTAAAGTTCAGCAAAAAAAGAATTGTAGAAACCTGGAAGGTGCTTGGCACAGTCCCAGAGCTGTTCCTATGTAGTGAGGAAACTGAGTGATAGGAATATACTTTTGCTGCTTTCTTGATCTTATCTTTTTTCTACTGTACCTTCTAAGTAAAGATTGATGTGCTAAAAGTCCCCTGCAAAAGCCTGGGCATTGTACTCTGCCTTTGTCACATGTCTCTGACAGCATAAACTGTGATCATGGGGCAGGATTTGGGGAACAGGCAGAAGTTGCTTCAGAGGTTTGACACAGATGCTTCAGGTTTCAGGGCTACAGCACTCAAGCTCTCTGTCCAGCATGAGAAAGGACAGTGGGTGCAGTCTTGGCCCCTCACAGCCCATGCTCTTAATTATCGTGGTTTGCCAGGGCTGCAAATGAACCAGTGATTCAGCTTGGAAGTAAAACCAGTGGTATCCAGCAAGTGGAAGTGTATTTATCTACTAGATGTCACAGACACATACTTAACCAAAGCAACTGATTCACCAAATTTGAAGCACTTGCTTGAAAGGCTGGGCACAATACAGCTTCAAAGAAATACCTGGAAAATGCTTAACAGAGTCAAATCTACTATTTTGCTTTCTTAATTCCTCTTTTATCCATATGGATGGACAGACACACACAGAATCACCTTAGGGAAGAGACCCAGCATAAAAAGTCACAGCTCAAATAATCTGCTGGAAAATAATAAGCAAGAGAAATCGGGATTTTATGTTTGAAAACGTCAAGTGGGCGTGGTTGTACCTCTTGGATATATAGTGGATATTGTGTGTCACGTTCTCAAGCAGCTTTCAAAGCTGGCTCACTGTCTTGACATGCTTCCTGCAGCTCCAGCTGTTATCCTGGACTTTTCCTTTTGGTTGTAGCTAGAACTGCTCTACAGAAGTCAGCGTAGTTTTTGTTTACAAATATATATAATCCAGGTTACATATATATAAATATGTATAACCCAGGTGTCTGTGCATTCATTTTCACTATTAGCAGCAGGTGTTGGGGACAACTTCAGCATGTGCTCAGACTGCAGTCCATGTGCTGCCAAAATTCCTTGGGTTTGGATGGTCATAGAAACACTGGTAATTCAAAACCTGCAGTATTTCCTGACCTCAGTACTGACCCTGCTCCCTTTACCTGTGCCTGTATTTCAGGCTCACATCACCAGTCTAGAAGAGTTAGAACTTGCCCTCCAAAGATCTGGGTCACAGCTCACTTTTACTGCTTCCTGAGGTCATGAACTAAGGTGGCAGCAGTGTTAACTTTGTGGTGTCCTTTATTTTTTGCTGTATTTTAAAGAATAATTGCTGGAGCAAGTGGAATGTGTTGCATCTTGAATATTATTGGGGCTGGAAAGCAGCCAGAACAACCAAGGAGCAAAACTTCTAGGCAGTTTTCCATATCTACAGCAAAACTGAGGCTCCAGTGAAGTTATCTAAGGAATTCAGCCTGAGAAAAACAAATGGAAAAGGAATGACACAGATATAAGGAAAAAAAAGTGAAGCATTTTATGATTTTGGACAGTTTCCCACAGAGTTATATCACTGCACTGCTATTATTCCTCAGCAAAATCAGAGTCAACATATTGTACTCCAGCAGCTGCACTCCCGCTTCATTCCCTGGAAACCTGGGGAATCAAAGTGATCTGGGAGAGGTGGATCAGAAGTTATTCCCCACCCTTGCCCATTCCTACCACGGTGAAATGAACTCCAGCCAAGGACCAGAATGTTGTGGATACTTCCAGCCAGTATTTTAATTCCTTGGTGCCTCTTGTATGGTACAATTTGCTTCTTTAAGAACAAGGAGACTGAGTTTATTTAGGATGTTAGAAAAACCCCATTGCTCTACGAGCAGCAAACTAAAGCAGATTCACTGCACATTCATATGGTCTCATCCCTAAAGCACCTTTGCTCCCCACTATAATAAATAAGGATATCTTGACTGTGTTTCTCATTTCAGTGTCACCCCCATGGGCAAGGCCTTCATATCTTGTTGCTAATTCAGCTTTAGGTACATGGGGACTGGCCAGCCTGGAAAGCAAGCAGGAGAGTTGGTGCCTGGGTCCTTTCTTTCCTTCAGCTGAGGAATGAACATGGTTCCTTTTTCTGTCTTCAGTTGCTGACTTCCAAGAAACTGCAGAAATTTAATTATTTTTGAGACTTTGAGTCATGTGTCAAATATGTATGAAATTTGGAGCAAGAGATAGACTGAACCATTACATAAGCTTCCTCTCCTTAGGAAAGCACCTAATCAAGCTTGTTCCATGAAAACTCCCCACCCAAATGACTGGAAATGGATGTTTTTTACAAACACAGACCTGTGCAAAACAATAGCCATCAGAAGCCCTTTGCCCAGTGTCCTTTTTCTTGGCAGAGGTACGTGCTTGTGTTGGACCATGGAGCACACATTGTCCTCTGGTTTGAAGGAGTTTACAAGTTGATAGTAATGGCAAGTTATATTCCCAACTTCAATTCTACTGCATCCAAATCATCAGTAGATGACC